GGAACCAGATCTCTCCCGTACAGAAAATCCCATTTTATCGATCGCATAACGACTCGAGAAGCTAAGGCACGACATCTTTTACTACCGTCGTCGTCTTGGGTCGTACCAGAAGTCGTGTTGCTTCCGTTGTGGTTGAAATGAGGGAGAAAATGGACTTCGGTGCTCATGTCACGTGACCATATTTCTTTGATGAGTTCGTTCACATCTGGTGAGGTTGGTCAGTGGGAGATGTGAACCAGGGTTAGGATTTCATAATTTGTGATTTTAACGTTTTATCGTAATTTATTTGTCGATGAAAAAAAGATTGCCGATTATGATGTGAAACAGACATGATTATATTGTGAAGAATGATGAATTTTTTGTGTTCGAGAAGTACCTGAACACTCAATAGACAATGAAAAGAAAAATAGATAATGATAACGATAAATTGCTAAAATAAACAAACAATTAAGGAAGTAAATACATACACAATAAATACTCACATACGAACAAAAATACATAGATAAGAAAGCCCATTTTCTCCGGAAGTAAATGACAATGCAAATAATTGATCAACTGACGTTAGATTAATTAACAGAAAGGGAAATGGAAAGCAACAAGAAGCACTTGCCTTCTGCCGCTGAGGTTAAAATGACGGCGTGTTTTATTTCCAAAACCTCGATGGTCTTAAGGGCGAATTTCGTCATCTTCGTTTGCTGATGGTGGGCGGCTTCTTTTAAAGAGGAAAAGAAAAGAAAATAATACACATACACCTATCTATACATACATATTTAATGTACACACACACACACACACATACACACATATATATAATATATATATATATATATATATATATATATATATATATATAATGTATATATATGATATATATATATATATATATATATATATATATATATATATATATGTGTGTGTGTGTGTGTGTGTGTGTGTGTGTGTGTGTGTGTGTGTATATGTGTGTGTGTGTGTGTGTGTGTGTGTGTGTGTGTGTGTGTGTGTGTGTGTGTGTGTGTGTGTGTGTGTGTGTGTGTGTGTGTGTGTACATTAAATATGTATGTATAGATAGGTGTGTGTGTGTGTGTGGTTTAATGTTCTTATTTCAGGTGGCAGCATCCAGTATAATTTTGATTATGTATACAGACACATACATATATAATCTTATATATACACTTGTATGTACATATATAAAAGTCTATCTTTATATCTGTCTGTACACACACACACATATATATTACGTTCAAATTCATTTCCGAATATTTTTCTGATATGATTAGATTCATTGAGATTTTTTCTTTATTTCATTTCTTTGATTTTCTTATCGTTATAATGTCAAGAATATTTCAATATTCTTTGTTCGCATTTCCTTGTCTTAACATTAATAAAAAAATCAATAACCAAAATTACACCTTAACTAACACAAACCAAAAATTAACCACAGCAACAAAAAATCGACAAAAAACAACACACATAAATAAAAATGATAATAACTTTCCGAAATAAAATAACGCCATCTAATCAAAATGCGGAAAATGGCGACCACATAACGACCACCGCCTGCAAAGAACTCACCTGCAGGAGTGCCATACTCCCCCCGAGGACCTGCGCCCCCCCCAGCCCCAGAGCCAGGAGGAGCCCCCCAGCGCCCCAGGAGCTCCACCCAGAAGTTTCAGGAATAGGAGGGAGGAGGGAGAGGAATATGAGGAAAAGGAAGCAAGTGGGAATGTGAGGTAAAGAGCGGCGTTTGTCTGCGTGTGGAGGGGGCGCCTGCTCTGCATATATATACATGAATACATATATATATGTATATATGTATGTGTATCTATATCTATATCTATGATATCTATATCTATATCTATCTATCTATCTATCTATCTATCTATCTATATCTATCTATCTATCTATCTATCTATCTATCTATCTATCTATCTATCTATCTATCTATCTATCTATCTAATATATATATATATATATATATATATATATATATATATATATATATATATATATATATATATGTATACTTAATAAAAATAATCAGTATTTCTAAATGTCGAAAATATCACTAGACTATAGACACACCAGATCACAGAACCGGACGACACCGTTTCACAAATGACAAATGACACATCACATTGAAAAGGGTCTTGCTGTTGACAGGGCTTCTTCAGTCTTTTCTTGGGATGAGGGCGAGGGTAAGGGTGGGCATGCGAGCGAATCGAACAAGAAATAGAGAAAAGGCTATCTAAGGGCATTATTATGCTATAACTAGGCTAAATAGATGTAATTTGTAATAGAAGTAAAAAAAATGTGGACCTCTGCGGGAGCCAAGTTGGACCTTAAGGAGGGTAAACAGAGTCCCTGAATTCACGCCCTTGACTGTTTCCACGCGGACCTCTCACACACGAAAAAAAAGAGAATATACTTACCTTACTAAATCCTATATAATATGATGCTACGCTGAACAATGTTCCAGTGAAATGCCCTTCCTTAAAAAAAATAAAAATGATTTCAAGGCATTCTCGGCACAGCAGCGCCTCCGAGACTGAACCGCGATCGACGGTTCTCCGCCAGATTCCGCTCTTCGCTGCGTCTAATTAACGCTAAAGAAAACGTAATTATCGTGAAATGGAGAATGGGAAATGTTATTGGATGTGACGCAATGAATTATTCAAAATGTATATTGATATAACATGCAAATGTGCGTGCTCAGATAGAGAGAAAAAAGTTTTAGTGTGTGTTAATGAATATTCGCACACATATTGTGAGATACACACACACACACACATACATATACATATACATATACATACATACATATATATATATATATATATATATATATATATATATATATATATATATATATATATATATATATATATATATATATATATATATATATATATATATATACACATACATACCTATACATATATATGTGTGTGTGTGTATATGTGTGTAACGAGAGAGTGAGAGAGATAGAGGGACAGACAGACGTAGATATCCCTATGTGTGTGTATGTGTATGCCATATGTACACAGGGCCGTGCAGATGATGCATGCGTAGTTTTGAATGGGTAATGTGTATATCTCTACATGATATTTTTTGACATAATAAAGATGATATACCTACAAATATCCTATATACCGGAGAAGGATATTTAGATAAATCGACACTGATACACTCTACATCCCGTATACCGCCACACAAAATATCTATTATAAACAGAGCATATATCGCAAAAGTGCTAAAGGCTAATTCATACTGTATATCGCTATATAGATACAGTATATATTCCATACGGTCTTTATGCAGGGTTATCTCTATCTAACCGGAAATGCTTACCATACCGTAATCTTTTCAAGTGTCCAGTGAGT